TTCAGGGGATGAAAACGGAACGGGGGTGGTGGGGAAGCGGGGCAGGCGTGTGGGGAGGGTGCAGGAGGGAAGGGCAGAGGGTGCCTGTGGGGAGAGGAGGGAAAGAAGGAGGTGCTGGCTCGGGGAACAGGGGTTAGACGTTTTAAAAAGGCACTTAACCACAATCTTTTTTTAATCGCAGCGGCCGCTTATTTAGGAAAAACAGAAAGAGGTGCTAGAGAAAGCAAGGGTGCAGTTTGGCAGAGCTGCCGTGGGGAACACCCTCGGAGCCTGCGGGGACCCTCGGGCCACTGTGGGGGGTCTCCCACAGTGCTTTACAAAAATGACCACTTTGAAGTTGAGACATCTTTGGTCCTCTAAGTTGCTTAATCAATTCTGCACAACAGCTCTGCTAGTCTAGAACGTAACTAAATACACTCTACGCTGCTTTTAATTTCAGTTTTTCCAAAGCTGGATGGGAGTATCGGTGAAGATGCTGGGTGGCTCCCGGGTGGCCTGTTGTCTACTTCTGCTCCGAAGGCAAACAGGTAATCACAGGAGCAGGTTGTTATGCAGTTGACACGTGTTTTTGCTAGAACTGGTTATCGTATGCAGAGTCTGGGCCTCAGTTATTTTGCATATTTGAGCTGGCTAACAGAATATCCAACTTGGGATAGGAACAAAAGTTTTATCTTGACAGCTGGCAAGTGTTTCATTTCACAGAGCCACACTTAATTCTATTTTCTACTGCTGCATAGAGAGAGAGATGAAATACAGCTTTGTGTGATACAAGTGAGGTAACATACCCTGAATATACTGTGATAAAAGAAGTGTTAGGAAGTCAGTTTCTCACCAGAACTTATAAATTAAAAATACAGATTTCACCATTTTATTAAGACAGTCACTGACAGTTTGTAAAAAAAATTTCTAACATACATAAAAGCTTTAGGCCAGAAATAGTGAGGAATTCAAACAGCATCCCGTGCCCACCCACCCCAACCCACACAGACATCACAATGCAAACTTGAGTTTGATTTAAATTGGCTTAATCTTGAAGTGTAGTCCAATAAGACTGAAGACTAGACACTTAAGGTCCTGGACCAGGTAGTAGAACACTCTCAAGCCTTCTGGATCCCTGCAGCACACAACAGAAGGAAGGGAAAAAAAAAAAGTTAGATTGATGTTCTAAGAGAGCAGTTTACAGAACTAACCTACTAAAAAAACTTCTAAAGCCTATAGGGAGACTTTTCATCTTAGACGTTAACAGATTTGTTTCATTCTACGTTGATTGATAAAACATTCTGTATTCCCAAGTTTGCACGTTTAAAGTCTTAACAAAATATGCATTTTTATCATGAAAGCAAGTAGTAACATCACTTTGGATTTAAAAAACATGATACCCAGTCTTTTCAGCTTAGGTGAAATACAGAAATCTTGGTTCTTCCAGAGACATTGGTGTGGACAGGCCAATGACAGTTCAGTTCAGACTCTGAATACGCCTAACAGGGGTTCCTACAGTAAGGTTAGCTGCTCAGTGAATTTGAATATATAGCGCGTAATGCCACTGTCCAAAAACATTTGGTACATTACGCTGGAACGCAGAGCACCTGTGCCCCCAGGAACTGATCTGTACTTCTGAAACAATAGGAAATACAAGTACCTAGTGATCAGCAAGTTCTAATATAGTTTGTTACATAAAAACAACAGCAACATAAAAAAGCAGAGCACGTACTTGGATTGGTTTACATCAATGAGTGAACCGATTTTTGACGTCGTAAAGGAGATATGCTCGTCACCGATTACTATTTCAAGCTCCTGAAAGATGAAAGACCACAGGAAGTCAAACTGCTGCTTTATGGTATTAGTTACAGAAATCCTTAAGTACCGAGATGATGGCTTTTCCATTTTTATTACAAAGGTAGTGAATGCAGCAGGTCTGTGACTCATTATTAACTCTCACGACTAAATTGCCATTTAGGTGCCGCTCAGGTTTTAGAACAGCATTTGTTTCCCTCTTGGCTAGAAATACTACCGACTCGAAAATAAAAGTTCAGCTATGCTTCTAGTGTAAAAATTAAAGCAGCAACCAGAAAAGACGCCGTACACTGACCTGTCGACCAACTCTGTCGGGAGGAGGCCACAGCGCATCGTCTTCTTTTGTGATTTCGCTGTCGTCGATTATTCTCTTCAGCTCCTCCATCACGCTCTTGTGCACGTACGCCTACGAACGACATCGCCCGCGTCAGAAAACGACCCCCCGGCGCTACCCACCGGTCCACGACCGCTCTGCTTCGCCCATCTCCGAGGCCACGGGGCGGGGGTGCGCCCCGTTAGGAACCCACCAGTTGCCCCCCCTCCCTTACCTCTTTTCGGATCATGACGTCGTTCTTGTAGTTGCTGTTGTTGGCGTAACGCAGCTTCCCTGGCGAAGACAAGGAGGGACGTTAAACCCCCGGCCCGGCCCCGCGTCCTCCCTCCCGGGAGCGGAGAGCGCGGTCCCCGCCCGGTGCCGCCGCCCACTCCCCTGCCCCTCACCGTCGGGTCGGAACTCGAACTCGAGGAACTCGTGGCCGAACTTGCCCTTGTGCCCCACGTAGTAGCGGAGGTAGAAATCGCTCGCCATGGTCCCGCCGCCGACGTCCCGGCGTGCAACGCGGCGGCGCGGGCGAAGCGCGTCACGGCGGGGCGGAGCTTGCTCCCTCCCTCCCCGCTCCGTTGGGGCGGCAGCGCCGCCCGCCCGCCCGCCGGAGCAGCGACGGCGGCGGT